TAAAAAGGACACGCGGACGTTGCAAATATAATCTGAGTATTTAGCCCAGAGTCGAACCCATAAGGAATTAACCTATCAATTACTCTCGTTAGGCTTACTAAATTCTACGGAATCAACTTTCCAAACGTTCTGAATAACAATTGAGAATGTTTCTACTAACTAAGAATGAATGTAAATAAGCAACTGAAAACTAACTATGATTAAGTTGTAAACAATTAAGAGAAGGTTCTAAGGTTATGATTTCCCTTATTGATGGAATCCCTTCCGGTTATGTTTCATATAGATTTTCCTAATCGTCTCTATCAATCATGAGCAATCTTATTACCGTAAATCTCTCCCGAGCAATCACAATAACTTACTAGCCGTACTCTCCCAAGATACGCTAGTTGACTTTGTTTATTACAGCTCACTTTAGATTGCACCCAAGGCTTCATTATCCCTAATCCCGCTTTTAAACCCTCAGTTATTGATCCCTCATATACTTTGGGAGTGGTGTTGTTTAACAATTACCAAAATATGCACTCTCTCCCGAGTTATGCACACTGAATAGGCATAGCTAATTGAGGATTCTGTCAATTAACTACAACAAGCACATAGTTGAACAAATAGAGATTAAACTGGGCAAACTATATTAACATAACAAGAAGTTCATCCTTCAATAGGTTCCATCAAAACTTAGACTAAATATTTAGCTACTCATACTAGAGTTCATCATAACAATATACAAATTCATCACAAATCGTAAAAACAAAAGGAAGAAAGGAAGAACTCGATGTTGAATTATCCTCCTTGCCTCTTGCCTCTCCTTGCCTTGAACTAAACTATGAAAACCTTGATAATCATCTCTTGGGCGAGCTAGACCTTCTATAGGTTAAGTGGATTTCCCCCGAACTTCCAATTTTACCCCTGAAGTTTACTTTTCCAGAACTGGGCAAGCGCGGTCGCGCTAATGGACGCGCTAGTGACCCCACATATGCCCTATCATTCTGCCTCGACCATCTGGGCTAGCGCGGTCGTGCTAATGGCCGCGCTAGTCTAGGTCTTCATTTCATCTCTTCTTTTTTTCTCGACTTCCCATGTACTCAGCTCCTAGGGGCTTTTCTTGCTTCAGTTTAGCTCCAATCACAGCTTTAAGGCCTCATACATGCTACTCACTCTTGCAACGTGTGAAATTCACAATTAAAGCCCTTTTATCATCATTTAACTATATTATCACAGTGAAACATAATCAAGTTGGGGCATAAACAATCACCAAATTACATAAATCTAGCCTATTATCATCACCCTTTGAAGAAAATAAGGTAAAAAAAGAATGAAGCAATCGTTTCCGGAAAAAATGGTGGAGTCGTCGGCTAACTTGGACAAGTACAAGAAGAAAGTTGTGTTGGAAGGGTTTTGGAGAAAATTATGGCGGGTCAATTTTCGGGTTATGGGCGGGTTCAGTTAATTTGGGATGGGTTTAAGTTAGTCCAATAGCAACATGACACCTAATAATTAATTATAGATTTTTTAAAAAAAAGATAAGGCTGTTAGTCATAAGGGTAGTTTGAGCCGAAAAGAAAATGGTAGGGGCAAATTTTGCAAAATTATCATACCAAACCCAATAGTCAAGGGGTAGTTTTGGCCCTTTTTCGTTAATTATATGTAGACTTAGCTTAGCTGTTAACTACTCTGTTAGTGTTATTTATATTAGTTGAGCTTAGATTAGTGTCACGTGTGTCTCTCAAGTGTGTTATATATATGTACTCATTTGCGCAGGTACAAGTTAGTCAGTTCATTTTTCCCACTTAACAGATTCTCTCATTCTTCTTTCTCTTCGAGAACCTTCTAGGGTTCCACCATTGGAGCCCAAGCTCGAGCTCTATTTATCCTTCACTTATCCATCTTTACATGAAATCATAGCACAATAGTCACCTCACTATTGTCCTGGATTTCTCTGTCAATTGAGTTCTAAAGCTGAAATCACGATCTCAATTGAGTTCTCAAGTTTTGCCCAATTTTTCTCGATCCATTATTTTCTTCTCTTTTCTGTTTCATTTTTCAACGAATTGATACTACCTTCCATGGCTATTCTTGATCCAAACAATGAATCTGGATTTGAATCGAGTAGCTCTACTCCTGTCGCCGGCGTTGACTCTATAATTAATTTAAGCTACCCTTTCTACATGCACCCGTCGAATAATACTTTGTGCGATGCTAGTGACAGCTTCGTTCAACGGCATCAGATATAGATCATAGAGGAGAAGTGTTCTTAGAGCTCTTTCATTCAAAAATAAAATAGGTTTATAAACGGCCAGACCTAGATTTCCTATAATTTTGTTAGTGGGAAAGGTGTGATGATATGGTAACCTCATGGATCCTGAATTCTTTGTGCAAATATATTGCCGATAGTGTCGAATATGCTAGTAATGCTTTTAAGTTGTGGAGAGAGTTAGAGGATAGGTACGACCAGACCAACGACACCAAATTGTATCAAATCCAAAAGGAAATCAACGATTTAACTCAAGGAGTCCTAGATATTACTGGATACTACACAAAAATAAAGAAACTTTGGGAGAAATTGGATATGATAGATGCCAAGTCGCAGTGTAGTTGCCAGTGTACCTGTGGGGCTAAGGAAAATGTGCCCAAAGTTGAGCAAGACAGAAGACTTATTCAATTTCTGATGCAATTAAACGAGGTATACACCACGGTACGTGGCAATATACTCATGATGAATCCCTTACCTTCTATGGCACAAGCCTTTTCTTTGCTTATTCAGGAGGAAAAGCAAAGAGAAGTGAAACCACACAATAAGCTCGTGATGGAATCTATCTCTTTGAATGCCAATGTTCCTACACACAACAGTTTAAACAGGGCATCTACGCACAACAACAACTTCAGAACCAATTACTATCCAAATAGTTATTCCTCCACTAGCAGACCTCGTCCCTTTTGTGATCACTGTAAGCGTGTTGGTCATATCAAAGACAAATGTTTCAAACTCCACGGTTATCCACAAGACTTTAATCACAATCTCAAGTACAATAAAGGCAAAAGGACTGCGACTAATGTACAAACATTCCAATTGATGCATTTCCTATGAATGGTGAGGAAATATAGTCCCAAAGCAGCAGCTCCAATGTCAGTCTCACTAGAGAACAATATGAGCAACTGGTGACTTTACTCTAGCACTTCCAGGCTAGCTCTGGCGGAGATAACTCAGATAATAACATCACTGGTGGGGTTGTAAATTTTGCAGGTATTCTACCTTGCTCTGTATCTGTTCTCTCTATTGATTTGTCATATAATGCTTTAAGTCAAGGGCTAACATTTGGATTTTGGATTTCGGGGCTTCTAATCATATGACCTTCAACAAATCTTTGCTCTCACATCAAAACCTTAGTGTATCCTATGTTAATTACTTTACCAAACGACTATTAAAGTCACTGAAATTGGAAAAGTTACTCTTGCACCAAACATTATCCTGCATAGAGTTCTTTATGTTCCATCCTTCAAATACAATCATTTTCCAATACATTCTTTAGCTTCTCAATTTAAAGGTTTGGTTGCCTTTTTTGACTTCCTATGTCTATTGGAGGCTCCTTTAATGAAGAGGCCTCTGGAGATTGGTAAGGTCAGGGATGGATAATACCTCCTATGTTCAAGCTGTTTGAAGAATTCCTACTCCAATTCACATGCCTCTTCTCTTATTCAGATTCAGTTTTGTCTAAAACCTGTGATATAAATAGCTTGCAATGTCAACATTCTGATTCACTTGTAAATGTTTCCACTTGCAATTCACAATCATTTGTAAATAACTCCATTGGTAATAAAACTCAGTGCTTTCCATCACATTCTTTGTTGTCTGATATGAATCTAGCTGACTTATTGTGGCATTATAGATTGAGACATGTACCTTTTGTCAAGTGAGGGAGATATCCTCTATTCCTGTTTAGTTCTCAATCAAACAACCTTTCTCTGCTCTATTAGTCCCCTGGCTAGGCAACCTAGACTTGCAGTCCCCCACAGAACCAACACCACAACTTCTGTTTTTGAACTCCTTCATGTAGACCTCTGGGGACCATACCATATGGCCCCCATGACAACAATAGATATTTCCTCACCTTAGTGGATAATTATAGTAGGGCCACCTGGACCAACCTCTTGACCAATAAAAGCAATGCATTGCAAGTCATCAAAGGGTTCATATGCTTGGTTGAAACTCATTTCAAAACAAATGTAACGTACCTCAGATCAGACAATGGTTCAGAATTTGTAACTATACAAGCCTCATCCTATTTTCTGCCAAAGGGGATTATTTATCAAATAACATGTCCCTACACTCCTCAACAAAATGAGGTAGTAGAAAGAAAATATAAGTGCCTTTTGAAAATTGCTAGCGCACTCCTTTTTCAGTCTAAGTTACCCTGCAGTATTGGGGTGAGTGAGTATTGGCTGCAACTCATATTATAAGCAGACTCCCCACCACTTACCTGAAGAATAAATGTCTAATTGAAGTCCTCTACAACAAAAAACCAACCTATTCCCACTTAAGAAGCTTTGAATGCCTATGTTCCATGCCTAACTTACACCCTGATACATATCCTACATCTGTTTCATCATCTCCTGTCACCACATCCACTTTAGATTCCTCTTTCTCTCCTAATGCTCTTTTCTCCACACATCATCATGTTTTCTTCTACTCCTTAGTTCCTGATAGTCAGCACCTTGTGCAAAGTATTTGTCATGACAGTGAGCCAAACTCTTATGAGGAAGCAACTTTGGACCCTGCTTGGCAAGCAACCATGACACTAGATTTTGAAGCACTCCATGCCAATCACACTTGGGACTTAGTTCCTTTGCCTATAGGGAAGAAGTCAATAGGCTGTCGATGAGTGTATAAAATCAAACACAAAGTTGATGCTAGTATTGAGAGATTTAAGGCCATTATGGTGGTAAAAGGGTATACCCAATAGGCTGGTGTTGATTATACTGAGACCTTTTCAGCAGTTGTGAAGATGACCACTATCAGGGCACTCATAGCAACTGCAGTAAAAAAATATTGGAGAATCTTTCAACTTGATGTAAATAATACCTTCCTCCATGGGGATTTCCATGAGGAAGTGTACATGGATTTACCTCCTGGCCTATTGGTTGATGCACTTGGACTAGTGTGCAAGCTGAATAAATCACTACATGGCTTGAAACAAGCCAATTGGCAGTGGTATGCTAAACCAGCTGAGGCTCTATGCTCCAAAGAATATGTTCACTCCCTTAATGACTATTCTGTTTTACAAGAAGACTGACTCCTCTATCATCTATGTTGTTGCTTATGTTTATGATGTAATCATTACAGGGAACAACTCAAAGGAGATCGTCTTGTTGAAATTTTTTTTGCATGCTCAATTTAGAATTAAAGACTTGGGAATATTGCATTATTTCCTAGGTTGGAAGTTTTCTACAGGGAAGATGGTGCCATAATCAAAGGAAGTTTGCACTTGATCTACTGAAGGAGTATGAGTGCCTTCATTGTAGTGCTTTCAGTGGACCATTGGATCCTAATGTCAAACTCAGAGCCAAGGAAGGTGTGCCCCTAACAGATCCTTCTACCTACAGGACCCTGATAGGTAAATTGAACTTCCTCACTAATACACGATTAGATATTGCATACAATGTTCAACACCTTAGTTAATTCATGCAAGATCCCAGGGAACCTCACTTGAAGGCTTCTTATCATTTACTTAGATATTTAAAGACTGATCCTACCCGTGGGATCTTCATGTCTGCCAATTCAGATTGTATTATTAGTTGGTATTGTGACTCTGATTGGGCAGCTTGTCCAGACTTTAGGAAGTCTGCTAGTGGGTATTTGGTACTTCTTGGTGATAGTTCAATCAGTTGGAAGTCTAAGAAATAGGACACCATATCCCTATCCTCTGCTGAAACAGAGTATAAAGCCCTGAGAAATGTAGTTGGTGAACTTGTTTGGTTGTGCAGATTATTTGATGAGCTGGCAGTTCCTTTTCCTAAGCATGTCCCAGTGTTGTGTGACAGTCAATCAACCCTGCACATCGCTCAAAATCCTATTTTTCAGGAACGAACCAAATACATTGAAGTCGATTGCCATTTTGTAAGAGACAAGTTGTAGGAAGGCTTGTTGTCTCTTCATCATGTTGGGACTGATTGCCAGTTAGCTGATGTCTTAACCAAGGCCCTTACTGGAGTCAAGCATCCATCAGTTATGAGCGAGTTCGCAGTGACAACATCACTTCCAACTTGGGGGGGGGGTATTGAGATATTGTATTAATTATATACAAACTTAGTTTAGCTGTTAACTACTATGTTAGTGTTAGTTATATTAGTTGAGCTTAGATTAGTCTCACGTGTGTCTCTCACTTGTGTTGTATATATGTACTCATTTGCACAGGTAATCCAAGTTAGTTAGTTCATTTTTCCCACTTAACAGATTCTCTCATTTTTCTCTCTCTTCGAGAACCTTCTAAGGTTCCACAATTGGATCCCAAGATCGAGCTCTGTTTATCCTTCACGTCTCCATCTTTACAAACTCCCACTAATATTTTTTTTGCTTTAAAAAAATTATTATACATAGGGGATAGTGGGTAGGGGAAGGAAAAATTGGGGAAGGAGATTACAAGGTGAAGAATCAAACCCTTACACCAAGGTGAACGTCCCCACCAACTAAGCTATTCCCTCACTAACACCTAGTTCTAATGAGAACTAACCAGAAAAAAGGAATTATTAGCTCTCTATCCATTTCATTTGCATGTATATACTTTTTAAATAAATGCTAACTATAACTTCATGAAATCAACTAAGATATCTCTATCCTCCAATAAAGCATCCAATCATACAATCTTCGCATGTGAAAATAATTTTTACTAGTATATAGAGCTAATTTTTTTCGTTTTTTAAAATTTGGAGGTGCAACTCGAATTTTTCTGTTAATGGAATATGGTAAATTATCAAAGATTATCAAGTTAATATGGCTTACTAAGCTATAAAATTTCCCGAATGGGATATGGAAAGTAATAAAAGGGGTTATAGAAGAAATATATAATGACTCGACAAGTCATTTTCAGCATTGACATTTCTTTTGGTGGTTTGAGGTATTGAGTAGCTTCATATGATGTACTACGACTTACATGCATGATTGGTTTTAATTTTCGGAAAGTTCAGGAGTGGTTCGAAAAAGTAATTCTCAATTCGGAAGATTTAAGTTGAAGAGTTGATCAAGGTTTGACTTTTATGTAAATGATCTATGATTAGTGTTTTGATGGTTCCAATAGGTTCGTATGTAATTTCAAACTTAGACGTATGTCTGAATTTGTATTTGGAGGTTCCTAGGTTGATTTGGCTCATTTCAGCGAATGTTGGCAATTTGAAGGCTTAAAAATTATGAGTTTGATCAGGAACTGACTTTGGTGATATCAGGTTCCGATTTGTTATTTAGGGATTTGAAAGGGTTCGGTATATCATTTAAAACTTTTGCGCAAAGTTTGGTTCTATTCCGAGTTATTTTGGAAGGATTCAGACGTGTTCGACGAAGTTTGAAGGTTTAAAAATTAAGAGAATGATCTTGATCTTCGATTCTTGATTTTAGTGATATTTATGATATTTCGAACCTTTGGATAAGTTTGAATAATGTATTTGGACTTGTTAGTACAACTGGATAGGGTATGGACGGGGTCCAGGAGGCCTCGGGTATGATTCAGGGTGATTTAGGACCATTTCTCTCATGTTTGTATTGTTGGTTTTTGCTGGTCTCAGCTGTGAATTGCGTTGGCAGAGGAATCATCTCATTCGCGGATAAGGAAGTGGATTTGAGGAGTTTTTTTCTTCGCATTAACGAGTTAAGAACCACGTTAGCAAAGGGTGTTTGTTGGGTCTGTGTATTTTTCCTCTACACGTTCACGACATGGTGGTCGCATTCGCAGTTGCTTAGTCGATTGCTCATCACGTTCGCGTAGATGTGATGCATTCATGTTTGAGAGCTGAGAGCTGGTGCAATTTCTTCAACATTTGCGAGGTCTAGGACACGTTTGTGAAGGTTTGACATCTTTGCTCATCGTGTTCGTGAGGTGTGTGCCGCAAATTTGAAGTGTAATTTGGGCAGTGATCATCCTTGTACTTCGCGATCGCGATGTAGGTATCGCAATCACGAAAGGTACTTCCAGAAAAATATATTTTAAGTTCTTATTTTGCACTTTGAGCTCATTATCATATTTTGAATTAGGGGCTCGGATAAGGACGATTTTTAGGTGATTTTTCCCTACTTGGATTGGGTAAGTGTTCTTGACTCAGACTAAATTATTATTCATGATTCTATCTTTGATTTCTACATTTGATTGGTAAATCTAAGAGGAAATTTGGGGATTTTCGGCAAAACTTTTCTAAAGTAAAAAATTAGAGATTTGATCCCCTATTTGAGTCTATTTTTGATGAAACATATATATATTGACTCGTATACGCATGGTAATTAGGATTTGTGAGTTTTGACGGGTTTCGGAGTGTGGGACTGTGTTGACTTTTTGTTGACTTCGAGTAATTGATTAAAGATTCGAATTTTATTATTTGATTTTGATTCCTATGGAATTATTTGATTTTATTGAGTTATTTTTGGCTAGATTCGATCTGTCCGGGTGTCTATTCATGCGGGAGGCATTTTTAGATTATTGATTTGGCTTGTTTGAGGTAAGTGTCTAGTGTAGATTTGGTTGAGGGAATTTTTTTTCTAATAATTGGTATTATTTGCTACATGTGGGGGTAATGTATATAGGAGGTGACAAACATATATACATGTACCATGTGTATTCATTCTCGTGGTGCATTTTAAATTTCTCTATGCCTTATTTGATTGCGTGTTCTACTTGATTCTACGTATTATTCGATTAATTGAATACGTGAGCATATAAACCAGGATAGAACTAATGTTAAGGCTATTGGTATCTTAGTTTGAATATGATGGACTAATCTTGTATGTTATGAATACACATTCGTACTTATTTTTGTGTGTGCCTTGATTGGGATGTGTGCACTCTGTGACATATATGTGATCCTTTGTATGACTACTCAAACTTCGCTGCTATATTTGATATAGACATAGTCATATTTTTTTATGTTGAACCCTATCTGTATTTTTGTTGTTATCATATCCTTGTGCGCTTTATTGATGAGTTATGAGGATATGTCTCTTGATGATTATTTGTTGTCTTGCATTGTTGTGATTTTTGGCACATGTAGACATGTTGAGTGGATTGATTAGGGTGATGGCACAAGGTTTTTCCGTGCGAGTGTGATTATTGTGTCAGGACGGAGCGATACGGTTGGATATTGTGATATTGTGCTAGGGCGGAGCAATACGGTTGGATATTGTGATATTGTGTAAGGGCAGAGGGATACTATTGGATATTGTAATATTGTGTCAGGGCGAAGTGATACGGTTGGATATTGTGATATTGTGTTAGGGCGGTGTGAAAAGGGTGAATATTATTATTGTGGCAGAAAAATATGGGCATGAGGTGCCATATTTTTTTTGTATCTATTTGATGAATTGTTGTCAAAACTGGGTGTTACCTTAATGGTGCAAGTGAATTCTTTATGATTTATGGTGCATTTTACATGTTTTTACGTTTCATCTAACATGTTAATCTATGCCTCTATTGTTATTTGACAATTTGGTTTTCAAGATGAAATTACCCATGTTGAGCTGATATCTCATGTTTGGTTGAGTTGTTGTAGCATAACAGATTGATGTAAAAAAAAAAAAGAAATTATCATCATGCATTGATGCATTGGATTCTCGTAAGTTCTCTTGAACATGTTATTTGGAAATTGATCTTTATCTCAATTTTTCACTCCTACTATCTCATACTCTTTATTCTGTAATTATCTTTCTTGAATATTTTTCTGTATTATATATATTATTGAGCTGCATAGATTTTGCAAAGTGAGTATCTTTTGATTTAAAAACCTTGTCACTACTTCTTTGAGGTTAGTCAAGATGCATATTCAGTACAATTGGGAGATTGTATGCATACTACACTTTTGCACCTTGCGTGCAGATTCTTTGAGCTGGGCTCTTGTGGATGACGAAGGCATATGTTGAATTTGTAGATGCATCCCATATTCAAGCTACCATTTGTTTATGGTAGATTAGCACATTATTTCTATTTATGTAACTTTTAAAAAAATATTGTATTTATTTCTTTTATCAACCTTGTAAATTTTAATCACAGAGACTCATAACTTATATTACCAGTACTCGAGATAGTTGTATTAAATTCTATTGCAGTTTTATTATTATATTGATAATTTCTCATTGTAGTAATAACTTATATTGTTTGTCTTACCTAGAAGGTTGGGTTAGGTACCATCACGACTTGGTGGGATTTTGGATTATAACAAGTTGGTATTAGAGCTCTAGGTTCATAGGTTCTACGAGTCAAAAGCAAATGTCTAGTAGATTCTTGTGAATCTGTATGATGATGTCCATACTTATCTTCGAGAGGCTATAGGGAATCTAGGAAACTTCTCATCTTTCTTCCTTATCGTGCAACTTTGTTTCAGCTTGGAGCTTATATCTTTGATTTCCTTCCATTCACTCGTATGTGATGTTGCGCACTAGGTATCACTATTCACCGACGACTTGTGATGCTACAGATGGACTATGAGGGTCTATAGATGTTTGATTATCATCCCGATGTGTTGTCTAGACCTATACGAGGATGTATTGGTAGATCTTTTAGCTGTTCATTGATAGGATAAAACGGGTTCTTGTATCTGGTCGATGAGTACAGACTTGGGAAGATTAATTTATTGCATAAGTGGTTGTGACCATGGCAGCGTCATAGAGAATATCGGTTGGAGGCTAAGTAGGTGGGTTATCTCCTGGGAGAA